TGAGAGGTGCCAAACCATATGCAGAATTTACCAAGCAACTTTCCAAAAATCATTTACATAACTCTTAGACTCTCACCCACACTGAAGGTACTAAAGGGTCAAGAGTAGGAAATTTCTGGAGAATTTTGGAAGATTTATTTATAGAGGGCCTATATTGTGAATCCTTCTACTCCCATCAAGGGCAAAGACTTGGGAAGGGGCTACATTCTATCCCAAGTCAAGAGAAAGAAGGACTTTAATATCGCATATACAACTTAAAACATGGTACCTACAGTTTGGGTAACTGGTGTTTCTGTGACTAAGTCATGCCTGCGAAATCCAAAGGGTGAAAGGCTGACTAAAGCAGCTGCCAGTATCAGAGTAGAGAGTTATGGTTTGAAGGGTAATTGCATTCCAGAGTTTGTTAAAGCCAAAATGAATGAATGTATGACCATGGAGAAGACATAGGCTTTGCAAAAGAAAGAGAACCAGTGTCTTAGATCCTATGCAAGAGGATCTTCTGGGGAGGTTGGGAGTACCATGACTGTGTAAGGCTTTGATAAGTGTAGTAAGCAACCAGCTGAATAGTTACATCTCATGCTCATGGATGGGAGGGCAGGTAAGAGTGTCCTTCCTCGTGTGTGTGTGTGTGTGTGTGTGTGTGTGTGTGTTGGGAGCATCAACCTATTTTATTGACAGGACAGAGAGGCTCTGACAAAAAAGAGTTTATTTGATAGTGACAGGGGATTGACATCTAGTATATGCAAGCCATGATGATCTTGGTCTATCCGGATAAATTAATGTAAAGGGAAACTTTTAAAAGACAAAGAAGAGGTTCACATAGGCTATTCTGAAACAAAAATCATTGGTCACAGGGGCTTGTGGCAGGAGCTGGTGTTCACTTATTGGTGGAGACAGCCATTGCTAGGCAAGTCTTGTAAGAGCAGCTTATCTGGAATACCACAATCTTGCAGAATTTCTTGTGGTAGCCCTGCTACAGACTTGTGTTGAACAGCAGGATGTGCAGGACATGCAGGATGTTCAGGGATTTGTGGGGTTTTAGAAGGTCCTTGTGTTCTTATCTCAGAAATATGTGTGTGAGATCCCCTCCTTCATGACCTCCCCGGCTCCACTTTGCTTGGCCTGATGTAAGTGACTTCACCTTGGCATCAACGACTTTCACAGGGGAAGGGGTAACCAAGGAACCACAAAAACCACCATAAAGAGTAAGAAGAAGCAGCTTTAAACAGCTGTCAAATCCAGAGAAGGTCAAAGCTCTAGAATAGGATCAGTCATGGAAGAACTTTCCTGCTTCTCCGTCCTCTCTACTTCCACCTTGGAAAGATCCAAACCTACCTAAGCAGGACCAGGAGAGAAAAAGAAGTATCCGGCCGTTTCATCTCCTCTTCAATGGCGGGATTTCTCATTCCTGCAGAGCCCACTAAGGGTCCAGAGCTTTATTACATGGGAGTGGAACATCTTCATTACTGAATTGAGGCCAGGTGCGGTGGTTCACACCTGTAATCCCAGCACTTTGGGAGGCTGAGGTGGGCCGATCACGAGGTCAGGAGTTCGAAACCAGCCTGGACAACATGGTGAAACCCCGTCTCTACTAAAAATACAAAAATTAGCCAGGCATGGTGGCAGGCGCCTGTAATCCCAGCTACTCAGGAGACTGAGGCGGGAGAATCACTTGAACCCGGGAGGCGGAGGTTGCAGTGAGCCGAGATTGTGCCGCTGCGTTCCAGCCTGGGCGACAGTGAGAGACTCCATCTCAAAAAAAAAAAAAAATTACTGAATGGAGACTGTGTTTTTTAACTTAAAGTGACTGGAAGAATCCATGGTGTCTACTTGAGTTTTAATTTAGGGACAAGGGTGGAGCTAGCCCCATTGATACGTTTAAAGGGACAAGAGAATTCTTGACAGCACGACGTCTAATGCTAGCACATAAGACCTTAGGAAGGTCCACCCTCCTCGCGGCAGTGAGGAATAGCTTTGCTGAGGTTAATAATGTGAGGATGGAGAAAGCAATAGATGAACAAGAGTCAGACCTTGGTCATGACACAGCTCCACTCCTTACCACAGCCAAAGTCTCTTCAGTGAGCATTGTTCCTTCATCTACAAAATGAGGGAGTTCAACTAGACAGCCAGTGGGATGCCTTCTCTATTTAAACTCTCGCATGAGTCTAGGGATGGCAAGGTGGAGAGGGGTTGGGTGAGTAGCCCCTTTCCTGGAGATTATTTAGACCACAGATGGTTTAAACCAGAGAAGACACTGGAGAACCCAGTGCATTTCAAAAATATTTCCTTGACCTCCTGGCAGCTTTGGGTAATTTGGGTAAGTTCTTCTGGCTGGAGGCACAGCTCAGGCTTTGTGGGGAAGATGAATTTAATGGTGAAACAACAGTTGTGGCAATAGATGCTGTTTCTGGCTCCTCTGAATCTTCCAGTATCTGCATTATGATTTTGGAATAAAAGATGATTCATTTTGAATCTGGAACTCAGCTAAATGAGCAGGACTCTGAAACAGCATAAATGACATTTCTCCCTGCCGGGAGCTCAAAGCAGGGAGGCTGAGCTTCTCCGTAGGTATTTGCCTGTGCTTCATCTTACGAAAGACCCAGGAACTCTCTCAGGAGTTCAGCCTTGCTGTCACAGGTGCTGGCTAAGGGAAGCCAGCTTTGGCTGCTGCTGAGGTTGTGGAGAAATCTATCTGCGTTTGTGCTAACAGTATTAATAAAAGCCCAGAGGTTAGGAGATGTTTCTGTGAATGTTATCTGCACTCTATCTGTGAACCAGTGCCGAAGGGCAAGTGATTCCCAGACATTAGCTGTACACAGCTTACTTATCCTTAGGTTTCCTTTTGGCTAAAACTCAGTTTCATTCATCTCTATGCATCTTTGCATAGTGACATGCACTGCTGTAGTGCTCTCTCAGAGAGGCAGCCCATGGGCCTCTTCCCTCCTAGCATTTGCCAAATTTTCCAAATAATGACATTGTGATTGTGTGATTATCTGTCTCCCCCACTAGACGGGAAGCTTCCTGTAGGCAAGAATTAGCTCATTCCCAAACATAGCATAGTGTTGGAAGGCACAGTGGTGGTGAATAAATACATAGGTGGATGATGAATTAACTGATTTATATAGCAAAGGGATGCTGGCTGCACACCTTCTTGTTGGATGGCAGGGAGCAAGAAGAAAGGTTGAGTTCACCCAAGTGCTGACCAAGCTTTGAGAACTTCCTTTCCATAGCAGATAAAAGGAGTCTGCAATCGTGGAGGTCTAGAGTACACTTTTCATCTCCCTTCACCCTGAGTTTTGTCTTTGGCAGAATCCCTGGGGATTTTTGAATCTGCAGCTTTTCTCTGCACTGGGGTTCCTGCAGTGTGAACACCATCCAGTGGCCTACACCATCCAGGTCTTGAGTATGGGCCCCTGGCAGCCCCCTTGAAATGGAATTCTCTCCACCCTGCATCCTGTTCCCCATGGCTTGCTGAAGTCCTTGCCCTGGGACCCATGGAGAGCTGAGGATGGGTGTGTGTGTGTGTGTGACCAAGGAGAAAGCTGCTCCCACTGCCGTGACCCTGCTTTCTCTGAGAATCAGAGGACTTGCAGGGAACCCAGAATTTCCCAGGGCCAAGTTTTCCGTTGGCCATGCAGTGACCCAGGCTTTCCCACAATCATCTCCTGGGAGTCAGCCCACTCTCCTGGCACCAGGGGTGTTCGTTCACCCTTGACTTTGTAAAGATCCCTGTCCTCTCCTTTCCCTATCTCTCCACCCCCAAGCCACTGTGAAATCCTAGTGTACTTTAAGGCTCTCCCAGTATTGACACCACTATCAGCCAAGTCACTTTCCATGACCCAGGGCTGTATTAGGAAAGGGCCACAATACCAAGAGACAGACACTGTGTGTTCTTGTCCTGGCCCTCCCATTTGCTACTTGCTGGACCACATGCACTCACATTGCTTCTTTAGGTCTCTGTTTCCTCATCTGTACAATGGGTTTATGCACCTTCCTGCCAGCCCACAGAGCTGTGGTGAAGGTCACATGAGGAGGTACATGAGAAGTTGCTTGTCTAGTAGTAGGGGACCCACCACGGTGAGGTAAGTTAATGTGTTAATATAACAATGAAGGCCAGGCCTAAGGAAAGGGGAAGCAAGACACATTTGTCGTGGCGTTTCTTACTCCCTTACTCCCTCACTTTTGGTCATTTGTGTAGCATTCCCCATAAAGGCCATCTAATCTCCCCACCCCCAGAAGAAAAGTTGGGCACATAAGTTGCTTGACCACATTCATGCACATTCATTCAATGTACTACTTCCTAGGGTATTTTAAGTTTAAAATAGATGAAAGCAGGAAGCCCCCCAAAAAGAATGTATAATACAGAAAAACAGGGACCATAAGACTTCTGTGAGTGGGAATATGTGAGGGCAGGGGCAGGGAGCATGCCCATGCATTGCCCAGGCCACTCCATGGGTCAGCTTGACTCCCTCGTCAGGGGCGTCCGTGCTCTTGGGGGCCGCACTCTTGAGTCTCAGCCCCCACGCCAAGGCCCCATTTTCATGCTGCCTGAGTAGGGCTGCTGAGACGTTTGGTGGAACTCGGAACTACCAGTGAGTGGGTCGTGCAGGGATTCTGCCTGTGTCCTCCACATGCCTTACCAGGGGAGGAAGAGGCACAAACAAAGAGTTAACAGCACAGAGGCCTTTACTGGAATGCTGTCAGCCCTCTCCAGGCCTCCAAGACTGCCCCAAGTGAAGAAGTGACTTCCCTACAGTGTGGCAGAGATAGTGGTATCTCAGCCCCTCTCCGTTCCTGTGTGTCGCCAGCTGGCACAGCCCAAGCCTCTTCTCCCCATTTTGACTCTTTTAAAGAGAGCCAAAGCGTCTCTACTTCCAAACACCCGCACAGGCTGGAGTCACTGGGAGCTGCCTGGGACCGAGCTCTGTGGCCCAGAGATGGGAATATGACCTTGGAGCATCACAAAACCTGGAAAAAAATGCAGCCAGCCTTCCTCAAAGAAGTTGGATTTCCAAACCTTGTCTCAGGACTTTATTGGATCTTTCAAAACAAGGAGACCAATGAGTGTGTTTTTTTCTCCAGCACATGAGTTCACCCTGGACTTGAATCCCAACCCAGGGGAGTCTGGACCACAGGGCCCTGCACCTGCATGCTGGCTACGCCCTGCCTCGGGAGAAGGCCAGCGAGCGCCGCCCTCTGTTGGCGTTGTTGAGCTCTTCGAGCATCTGCTCCCTGGCAATGTGGCCATTGCTCGCCACCCAGAAGGCCCTCTCCTCTTCCCAGAGGGCATTCTCTTCCTCCCAGAGGGACGTTTTATCCTCCCACAGGGCTTTCTCTTCCTCAAGGAGGGCTCTTTCCTCTACCCACAGGGCCTTTTCTTCCTCCCACAGGGCCTTGTCCTCCTGAAGAAGGTTCCGGTCTTTTTCCCATAAGGCATTGTCCTCTTTCCAGAAGGCCTTATCGTCCTTCCAGAAAATGCGGTACTTTTTCCAAAAAGTTTTCTCTTCCTCCCTGAAAGACTTTTCCATTTCCCAGAAGGATTTTTCCTCTTTCCAGAAGCTTTTCTCCTCTTCCCAGAAAGGTCTCTCGTCTTCCCAAAAACCCAGAATCTGGCCCCGGAAAGCACGGATTTTGCCTCGGAAAGTCCACATTTCTTCCCTGAAGTCCTCTATTTTCTCACGAAAAATTTTCATCTCTTCGCGAAAAGCCTTTTCCTCCTGCAGCTTGTGCATTAGTTTCTTCTGGCGAACACTGGGAGAGGATGTCACCAGGGACCGGAAGCAGGCAAGCCCCATCCATCTGCTCACCTTGAAGGAAAACATCTTCCTTAACAGTCGGAATGGTGGGGTGGCCATGATGACAGGACCCTTGGCCAGGTCCAGATCGGCTGGTCAGACCCTGTAGGGGGAGCAGAGAAGAAAGGTCTGTGAGTATCACATGCCAAGGGACGGCCCTTGGTTCTGTAGTACTGGATTTGAGAAAATGTAATCACCGTTCTTTGTCCCCATGGTGGTGTTTGTGAGGGACAAGCTTTGGTTGAGAAACATGTGGGGTGGTCATGGCTTTGAGCTAGAGAGGCAGTCAGTACATTCAAGCTCAAGGCTGCTAAAAACATAGACGCTCAGCCAAGAAGGACAGTGGCTCTCAACTAGGGTATCAGAACACACAGGTGTGACATGACGAGGCCAAGAAGAATTTATGTTTGTTCAGTCAACCTGAATGAATTTAGGTTTTGGTGTACTCACTTGGGAATTGTTCCTGTCTGCCTATGGTCATGCTCACATGTGAATGTCCTCTATTACGAGCCTGGGACACAGAAGATAGGCCCACTGACCTCAGAGGGGAGGAGGACAGTGTATATTAGGAGAGGAGTTTATTTTGGGAAAAGTGGTTTAAAACAAAAAGGTGAGAGACAATGGTGAATGTTGCCAGGATCATGGAACAAGAAGACCCTCACGCAATATTGAGTAATATGGAATAATAAGAAAGACACCAGATGACCCAGCAACTCCAGTCCCAGATATAAACCCTGAGGAAACTTAGGAACTGTGACTAGGACACATGTACAAGTGTGTTCGAGGAGCTTTGCTCATAAGAGCTCAACTCTGGAAACAATCCAGTGACCATCCCAATAGAGTGGAATAAAAAATGGCGCTATATCCACATGGCAGACAGCATGGCTGCCTACAACAGCATGAGTGAATCTTATAAACACTCTGCTGAAAGAGAGAATCAGGATCAGGGAATTTCAAAGAATGAAGTTCCAAACAAGCAGGACTAAATGCCATGGTCTGGGGGAACATACTTCAGTGTTAACACAGAAAGAAAAGCAAGGAAGTGAGTCCCAAAGTCAGAGTAATAGTTGCTGGTGTGGGAGGATTTGGGGTGTGGGATGAGGAGGTGAGACTAAGGATTGTGATTAAGTGAGTGCTTGAGAGGGGCTTCTGCAGTGCTAGCAGCATTCTGTTTCTTTGCTTGGTGGCGGTTTCATGTGTGTTGTTATAAAGGCGTGTTAAGCGGTACATGGATATTTTATGTACCCCAGTCAATACAGTATATTTCACAATAAAATAAAAGCTGGGGAGAAGAAAGAAGGAAAAGAAAAAAAAGAAAAGAAAAAGACAGAGAGGGAGGGAGAGAAGGAGAAAGATCTTCAAACATTGCCATTATATCTGAGGAATCAGATAGCAGAACTATCTGTAACAATCCCTGTAACTACAAACATGAATCGAGGGATGAGAAAAAGCACTGGACATAGGAAGGTGGTTAGGGGGCAGGAAAGAGCTGTGTTGTCAGATAAGTAGTGCATGCACATGCTGAGAGCGTTGTTTTCCATTTTGTGCTTTCTCGAGGAAGTTGCCAGGGTCTGGCCCTCACTCAGTGGACCTCACTGATCCATCATCCATGAGACCTTTTGGGGAAATTTTCAGGGCTTTCTCTGTGTTTTTCCATTTCTGGTTTAGGATCAGGGAGTGGAGGAGGAGAAAAGACACAACTGGGTGTGTGTGTGTGTGTGCACGCGCACAACCGTATGAAGAGACAGTGGCTAGGCTGTGGAGAGCTGGTGGCATCACCATCCGTCAAGTCACACAAACCAGAACCAGGGGCACATCCTTGACCTTTCCCTCTCCCTCACCAGACTTCTCTCCTCAACCATCAAGCCCGCCTAGCTGAGATCCTTAACATTTCTTGAAACCATGCCCCTGTTCCATCTCCCCAACCACAGCCGGGTCAGGCCAGGATGCCTGAAACAGCCTCGCTGCTCTCTGTATTAATCTTACCCTCTTATCTGCCCCCGCACTGTAGCCCTACAGGTGTTTTCTAAAACACTTTCTCGTCCTATCACATCAGTTCACACACCTTCAAAGACCTTGTAGCCCAACGATCAAAGCTGAATGCCCTAGGAAGGCCCTGTGCAGCCCAACTCCAGCTTGCTTCTCCCTGTCCTTCCTACCCAGCCTGCACCCAACTCCAAATCTAAGGCCCAGTATGAATGAGCTCTATTCAGCTCTTGGCACCCTGCCTCCAGTTTCCTGCCTGGATGCTGAAGCACATGCCGCATCCTCTACTGAGAGCACCTTTTCCTCCTATGGTGGGCTTGAATTCCTGTTCATCCCTTCCCCTCTGAAAGCCACTCGGACCCTCCAGACAAAGTTCCTCGCCACCTCCGCAATGCTATCTGTCTGTTACTCCACTGTTACTTGTCAGACTTGATTGAAATTAGGTGTAGACATGTCTTCCTGACGTCTCTGTAACCCAGGAGCTATTATAATATAAAGCCGTCTATATAGGAGGGAACTGGTGAAAATGTTGTTTGAATTGAACTGAATTTAACTGCGTTTTGGAAATTTGATTTTCTGTGTTGTATGGCTCTTTGCCTGGAATCTGTCCAATATGCGAGGTCCTCCCTCACTTCCATGTCTTGCTGGCCCCCTCTCCCTGGATAGCCTTGCCCAAGCTCACTTCAGTTCACCTAGCGAATCCTTCAGCACTCAGATACCTCCTCCAGGCAGTCTCTCCTAAGCTCAGACTGAGCATGAGCACTTTCTGTCCCGCTAGAAACACCTCATCTTCCATCTCTATGTCTGGCATCCCGCGAAACGTCCTGCCACAGGATAGGTGTTCAGAAAATAGCAGCTGGATGAATGGGCATCTACTGGGTTAGGATGTTGGAAAAAATTCACCTCCAAGTTTTTCTCAAGTGAACACTGAACTTTCTTTAAGAAAGAAAGAAAACAAGAACCATATCAAATATGTAGATGTGTGTTAAGATATAAAGTACAACATAAAACTGTAGATGTGTATCTGTATAGCTATAAAAATGCGCATTAAAGAAACATGCCTAGTTTTCAGTTATACTGTAAGACTAGGAACTTCTTTTTAAGGAAAATATTATATATTACCTTATGCTTAGAACAAATACTATACAATCTAAAGCCAACGGTTACTTACTGCTTAGCTGCTTGCCAACGGGGTAGGTCCTGTAGCCCTCAGAGGGTACATGCGGCCATTGTCATGTGAGATCCCCGATGACGCTGCTTGCAGGCCTGCCCCAACAATGCTGACTGTGACCTATCTGTGCCCTTTCAGACCTGACTCACAGGATGGCGACTCTAAGAAGGAGTCCCCTATAAAAGACTTTAAGGAAAGGAGGGGGCACTTGAAAGGTCTGAAAGAGTTCCTTTTCCGTCTTTGACTTCCCTGATAGGGCAGTGCTGTTGATGACTCACAAGTGATTGTTACCTCAGATTCTGTTGGCATTGGTTCCAGGAGCATGGTTCTAGGAAGTCATGGTCTGAGGAGGGCTGTATGTGGGTTGAATCACTTCACTTGCTGCTTTCCAGATTCTTTGTCTTTGGCTTTTGATAGTTTGACTAGGATGTGTCTTGGTCTTGAGGTTTATTCTACTTGGAGATTGTTGAGCTTCTTGGATATGCAGTTTTGATACAGTTTTTCATCAAATTTCAGAAGTTTTTGGCCACTATTTCTTCAAATATTCTTTCTTCCATTTTCTCTGTCTCCTCTCCTTCTAGGGCTCATATTATGTGAAGACTGGTAGCGTGAGGGTGTCCCCCAGGTCTCTAAAGTTATATTCATTTTTCTTCATTCTTTTTTATTTCTGTTGCTTAGATTAGATAATCTCAATTAACCTGTTTACAAGCTTGTGGATTTTTTCTTCTGTCAGTTCAAATATGCTGTTGAACTCCTCTTTAATTTTTCATTTTCAACTCCAGAATTTTTGTCACGTAGTAAAATTTTTAAATAGTCAAATAAATTAACATATCCATATTTCATATAGTTACCCTTTTTTGTGCACTGTAGCAAGAGCACCCAAAATCTACTCTCTTAGCAAAAATCCTGAATACAATGTTACTAACTATAGTCCTCATGTTGTAGCTTAGATCTCTAAATTATTTATCCTATATATCTGCAACTTTGTACCCTTTGATCTCCTTCTTCCTGTTTCCTCCCCACACCGAGCAACCACCATTTTATTCTTTGTCTATGTATTTGACTTTTTTCTTTCTTTTTCTTCTTCTTTTTTTTTTTTGAGACAGAGTCTCGCTCTGTTGCCCAGGCTGGAGTGCAGTGGCGCAATCTCGGCTCACTGCAAGCTCTGCCTCCTGGGTTCACGCCCTTCTCCTGCCTCAGCCTCCTGAGTAGCTGGGACTACAGGCGCCCGCCACCACGCCTGGCATTTTTTTGTATTTTTAGTAGAGACGGGGTTTCATCGTGTTAGCCAGGATGGTCTCGATCTGCTGACCTCGTGATCCGCCCGCCTCGGCCTCTCCAAGTGCTGGGATTACAGGCGTGAGCCACGGCACCCGGCCCCCTTTTTTTTTTTTTTTTTTTAAGATTTTACATATAAGCGAAATTGTGCAGCATTTTTCTTTCTGTGTCTGGCTTATTTCACTTAGCATAATGTTCTCCAGGTTCATCTATCTTGTGACAAATGACAGGATTCTTTTTTTATGACTGAATAATATTCTACTTTATATACATGCTACAATTTCTTTATCCATTCATCCATCAGTGGACCCCTAGTCCATCCAGAATTTCTCCAGAAATTTTCACTGTGTCTCCAGAATTTGTTTGGTTATATAAAGAAAAGGATATATGTACTTCTATATACACACACACACACTCTTTTCTATAATATATACTTTTCTATATATCTATATAAAAGTATATGTATATAAAGTGTGTGTATATATACACACACACAACATATATATATACACACACACAAACACACACACACACTTTTCTGTCTCTTTTTGGTAAGGCATAGTTTTTAAATCTTTCCTTTAATGCTTTTTTTTTTTCTTTTGAGACATCGTCTCTGTCAGGCTGGAGTGCAATGGCATGATCTTGGCTAACTGCAGCCTCAACCTCCTGGACTCGAGGGGTCTTCCCACTTCAGCCTCTCAAGTAGCTGGGACTACAGGCGTGTGTCACCAGACCTAGCTAATTTTTTGTATTTTCTGTAGAGATGGGGTTTCTCCATGTTGCCCAGGCTTGTCTCAAACTTCTAGGCTCAAGTGATCTACCCACTTCGGCCTCCCGAAGTGCTGGGATTATAGGTGTGAGCCACCACACCTGGCCTTGTTTTTCTTTAACTCTTTAGGAATGGTTTCTTTCAGTTCTTTAACTACATTTGTAATAGCTGACTAAAAATCTTGGTTTAATCACCCAGTGTCTGCAATTCCTTAGAGACAGTTTATAACCAAAAAGACAATTACTCAGAGAATAACAGTTTCAGGCCAGGCATGGTGGCGCATGCTTGTAATCCTAGCAATTTGGGAGGCCGAGGAGGGAGGATGGCTTGAGCGTAGGAGTTTGAGACCAGCCTGACAACATAACAAGACCCTGTCTCTACAAAACCAAAATAAATTAGTCAGTTGTGGTGGTGCATGCCTGTAGTCCCTGCTACTTGGAAGGCTGAGGAAGGAAGGATCATTTGAGTGCAGGAGGCTGAGGCTGAGTGAGCTTTGATTGTGCCACTGTACTCCAGCCTGGGCGACAGAGTGAGACCCTGTCTCAAAAACATAAATAAATAAATAAAATAGAATAACAGTTTCTATTGGCTGCTTTTCCCCCTTTATATATAACTCTGTTTGCAATAAAGGGTTTCCTGTTTCTTTGTATGCCTCAAAAATTTTTGTTGAAGTTGGACACTTAATATAATATAGTAACTAAAAATGAGATTCCCACTCCCAAGTTGTGTTGTTGACATTTATTGTTGTTGCTGTTGCTATTTGTTCATTTAGCGAACAAATTTAGCGAAAAATAATTTGTTCATTTCTTGTACAAATTCTATTAAGTCTGTATTTTTTGTCATGTGTGGGCACTAAAGTCTGCTTATTAACGATCAGCTAAGACTGGACAGAGATCTCCATGAACTGATGTCTCCTTTCCTTTGCTGAGGGTGTGTGTGTGTGTGTGTGCACGCGCACGCGCATGTGTGTGTGGTTGGGGGTGCAGGGGTGCAGGTTGGGCATACCTTTAGTGATCATGCAGGCAGTTTACGATTCTGCCTAGCCTTCACTTCCTTCTTGTGAGAGCCTCAAAGTCAGCCTGAGGTGAGAGATTATGGCCATCTCAGGTCTTTCTCAGCCATGTGCACAGTCACATGCATGTGACCCAAATTCTCAGGAATATATCAAAACTTTTCAAAGTCTCCGTCTTATTCTCCAGTTTTTCTTTTTCAGTTATTGGTCAAGCCTCTGGTTAACCCCAACTAGTAATGCCAAATCAGGCAGCTATAATATTAAACAATTACCACTTTTTTTTTTTACAAATGCCCTGAGGATAGGGTTATTTGCACAGAGTAGGCTCTGAGTCAAGTCAAATAAAGACAAGTTCTGTGAAGGAAGCTTTTCAGTGAACTGCCAAACAGGTCAAATAGTAACAATTCTTTGAGGATGGAGAGAATCCATCCTAACCCTTACTCAGTCATTTTGGAAGTCTCAATCATTGGTTTTTAACCATTCTTCTTTTCTAGTATGTGTGCTTAAGACACATATACCATCAGTTTCCGAAACAGCCAAGTAAAAAGGGCTCCTGGGAGAACCTCCGACCTGCCACTGGGTGGATGGAACCCGACGTCGGGAAGTATGCACTGTTTGCAGGGGGAAGGAGCTTGGCCCCTCATGTTTCTGGATGGCAACTTAGGATTCAGTCTGTGAGATGGGGGCCTGTTAACAGGAACCCCTTTCGCTTTGCTGAGTTTTTTTCCCTTTACATCCAATAAATTTCATTTTTTTTATCCTTCTATGTGTCCACAAGCCTAATCTTTTCCTGGTTATGTGACAAGAACCCAAAGAACCCGATTTTTAGCTGAACTGAGGAGAAAGTCCTACAACATTTTCATTTAAGTACACTTACCTGCATCTCACATGTTTTGATATGTCACCTTTTAATTACTATTCAGTTAAAATATTTTCTGATATCCATTGGAATTGCTTCTTTGATCTATTGGCTATTTACAAGTACATTGCTTAATTTCCAAATATATGGGGATTTTCCAATTACCTTTTTGTTACTGACTTCCAGCTCCATTTCACTATGGTTGGCACAGAGTATATGGTTTGTATACTCTGATCTCAATCATTTGAATTTGCTAAGACTTGCTTTATGGCCCTGCATACATTCAATTGTGGTAAATGTTCCATGTCCACTTGAAAATAATTGATATTCTTCAGTTGCTTGATGCAGTGTTCTCTCTCTAGATGTGTCTGAATTAGGTTGAACCTTTACCTATGTTGTTCAAATCTTCTATATCCTTATAGATTTTTCTGGCTGCTTGTTCTATCAGTTACTGAGAGAGATGTACTTACAGATCTATTTCTTCCAGTTAGGTCAGTTTTTGTTTCATATACTTTGAGGCTATATTATTAGATACATGCATATTTACAATTGTTATATTTTCTTGGCATAATGACACTTTGATTTTTATAAAATGCCACCTTTTTATCTTTAGTAATACTTCTTTCCTTAAGTTCTACTTTGATATTAGTATAGGCACATCAGCTTTTATTAGTGTTTGCATGGTGTATCTTTTCCATCCTTTTATTTCAACCTTTCTGTGCCCTTATATTTAAGTGTATTTCCTGTGATTAACGTATGGTTGAGTTTTTGCTTTTTCTATCTGATACAATTTGTCATCTATTTGGTTTTTAAAAATATTTAAAGTTTATATAATTACTGATTTATATTAGATTTGAATCTATTTTCTTATCATTTTTTTCTAGCCCTACATGTTGAATTTACTTTTCCTTTTTTCTTTTTGATTAATTAAATAATTTTATTATTCCATTTTCCTCTATTATGTCATTAGTTATATATTCTTTTAGCAATTATCCTAGAGATTACAATAGACATCCTTGAATTGTTAAAGTCTAATGGATTTTTATCTTTACCACTTCTCTGATAATGCTAGAATCTTAGATGATTTTAACTCTATTTATACGCCTTTTACCTTTCTCATTTTGTTGTCATAAATTTTAATTCTGCATATATTCAAGACTCCACAAGATTTTGCTGGTCAATATACATTTGTAATTACACATGTTTTTGCCTTTTTTCATACTCTCCATTTCTTCCTGCATCTCTGTGCTTCTGTTTGGGATAATTTTCCAGGTACTCAAAAAATCATGTTCTTTAGTATGGGTCTTGTGATGGAATCTCTCAGTGTTTGTTTATTTGTTGAAAATACTTTTGCCCTTTTTTTATGCCGATTAACAGGTGTTATCGGTAGAATGGTTTGCTTAGTGTGTTTCCACTGCTGTGTAAACAAATGCCACTTTCATTTTCCTGTTCTTTACATTATAGAGAATTTCATAGTAATATGATTTCAAAACATAGATAAGAAATGAATTTTAATCTCTGTAAACAATTGAGAGCAAAATCAACAATTGTCTCTGTTGAATTTGTATTATCTAATATTGGCTCTAAGTTTTTAATAGAAAGGAGTAAAACATAATTAGGTTCTACACAACATGAAATCCAAACAGAAGTGCCTTTGTTTTCTTATTCAGACATATGATCCTTTGTAATCCCATTTGCCTTCATTTTTGAAGCATATTTCTACTGGTTAGAGAATTATAGTTTATTTTCTTTCAGTTAGTCTGGTTTCTATTGTTTCTGTTGAGAAGTCAGCATCAATCTAATTGTTGCTTTTTGAAGGAAGTATGCTTTTTAAAATTCCAACCGATGTTAAGACTTTGCCTTTGGTCTTCGGCAGCTAGATGTGCTTTCCTTTGTATTTTCATGCTTGGGATTTGAAGTATTTCTTGTATGATTGAAACCACTTTGCAAAATTATGACGGTAAGAGAAATCTGACATAGTTGACTCCATCTTGCTTCTGACCTCCAAGATGTTATTGGTCATTCCTGGGTGTAAACCCAGATAACTTTGGGAGGAATTTATACTTTAACTTTGAAACAAGGATGATAATAATCCCTCCCTAAGACAAATCCC